GTAGAGGGCCTAATTGCTGACCAAAAGCTCATGTGCAGGATCTGCTGGAAGAAAGGGATCTAGGAGTAAGGGCAATCTGTATAATAGACCTACCTAAACACGGTCTACAACCCGGAAAAATATTGCTCGTATGGAAAGGAATATCATCCACAGCCTCTTCAATTTTTCACATATGGTATCTAGCATTTAGGGAAAAACTACCACATGTGCCAAAAACACAGCACCAGAACAAAAACAGAGAGAAATGAGATGCACAGATAAATCAAATTCTTCAGTTATCAAAAAATAAGTAGTATTCACATATTTAAGGAAATAGATGAAAAGATAAAGAATTTTACCAAAGAGCTAGAATAAGAAACAAAAGTCAAATGGAAATTCTAAAACTGAACACTGCAACTGAAATTAGGAATTCAGAGGATATTAGACATAAGAGAAGGTAGGATTAGTGACCTGGAAGATAAGTCAGTAAAAAATATCCAGATTGATGTATAAAAAAGAAAACGAAAGGAGGACAATACAGAAAAGAGCATAAAAGCAATATGGGACAGAGTAAGAAGGTCTAAAACCCATGAAAAATTGGAAGACCAGAATAGGAGGAGAAATAGAATGAAACTGAGTCAACATTTGAAGGAATACAGCCTCAGAATCTTCTAAAACTAACAAGAGTCTTCAAGCCGTAGATTCAAGAAGCTCCCTAAACACCAATAAAGATAAGTACAGAGGAGGCCACAGAAGGAGGTGGTCAAAAAAACCAAAGGTACAGAAAATCTTAAAAGTAGCTTGAGGGGAAAAGGGTGGACACATTTCTTTTAAAGGAACTAAAACAAGGCATATGGTTGAATTTGTAAGAGAAACAACAGAATGTGAAAGACAATAGAACAACGTCTTTACAGTGATAGAGGAAAATCACTGCCACCCTAAAATGCTGTATCAAGTGAAACTATCTTAGCTGGAGGTGGAGGCTTTTGAACAGGTGCGTGGTATGATCTGAATGAGAGGCGAGATTATCAGGATTATTAGGCTAGATTATTGAGATGCTAGCTTATTAGGATGGCAAGAGTAGAACCCAAGAGGCCAGTGAGGAGACCCTAATGATTGTCGAGGCAAGAGAGGATGGTAGCCTGGACCAGAGCAGTAGTATTAAATATGGAGAGAGGAGGAAAGAAAATGTATTTTGGAGGTAGACCCAATGGAATATGCCAACATGGGGTTGAGGGAAAAAGAGGAATCAATCACGAGCCCTAGGTTTTTTTTACAGGAGCCACGTGGATGGACCATGATGCCATTTCTGAGGTGAGGGAGACTGAAGGTGGGAGAGGTTTAAAAAGGGCATTAGAGTTCAGTTTTGCACATGTTGGATTTGAGATTCCGATGAGACAAGCGGAGGTATGAAGCAGGCAGTCTGACCCAGGAGCAGGCCACGCATGGCTCACTCCCTTGGTTCCTTCATATGCTGTTCAAAAGTGACCTGATCAGCAAGGTATTCCCTGAACATCCCATACGGAATAGTCAGCCCTACCCCATTCTATCCCGTATCGCTCGCATTCTGCTTTCTTCTTCTCCGCAGTTCTTATTACCACCTGACACGCTGTTTGCACTTTCGCTCCTTGCCCATCTCCCCCGTCACAAGATCATTCCCCTCCTTGTGGACACGGAAGCTGTCCATTTTGCTCACTGCTGTATCCCCACCAGCATACCTAACGCGTAATAAGTGCTCACCAGTTTTTGTTAAATGAATGGAGCAAGCCCAAGAAAGCTTCAAAAGGCAACTACCCTATTAAAGAAGCGAAAGTAATTAAACCAAACACCCTAAGTCCTAAATGCTTTGCATATTTTCTCTATTTCAACCATCACCACCTCACTCTCGGCTCCTTATCAGAAAAACGAGAGCAGGAGGGACACGGTGTTGTTTCTTCTGCTTATGGGTGTGTCCCCAGTACCTCCCAGGCTCTTGGTTTCAGTCAATTCAGCAACAGGTCCTAACTGAACACACGTAAGCCATCAACAAAACTGTGTGTGAAGGTTACAGAACTACATCAAGAGCTTCCTCCCGATGCTTTATGGAGATTTTAAGTCATCACTGGGCAAGAGGGATAATTATAAGGCAAATGGCTTTGGCTTAAGATAGAAAATTCGTGATCCTTTTTAAAAAATCAATACTATAGCACTTTATCAAACTGCTAAATGTTACCCAACGTGAAAATCATCACATTTAACCTACCCTGTCGATATAGCTTGTTTAAAGAAAATAAAACACTCCAGGAGATTTTCAGCACCTTTCTCACGAACCCTTCACTGTTATAATCTCCTGTTGCAAATACAATTTTATGCAGAACATGTTTCTATGTTTTAACTCCTAATGGCAGTGTCCAGCTATTATCTAGTATATAAGATTGTTTTCCAATATTTGGAAAGGGAGGAGATACTGTAAACTAATTTAAGGGAGAAATTAATATGGAATCTGTTGGAAAGGGCACTTCCCCTATCCTTCTTAATGATTTTCTTAATAGCTTCATAATAAAGACAATTATAATCAAGATAAACTGTAAAGGAATAACTCAGAGAATGTTCTATAAGTATCAGAGAAATACTCTTTACCAGCACCCTGGTTTCACCTCTATTTAAAAAAATGTCAAGACATTTCAGCAAATGCACGCTCACATTAAAAGCATACGGCAGGGAAAAAAAGAAAGAATCCAGCAAGACACAGAAATTTATAGAAATCACCTGGAAAGGCAGTTTAACAAAGATTAATTACTTTAATAAAGATCAAAATTTCTCATTTAAAATATTGTATAACAGCATAAATTTGCATAAGAATGACACAGATATGGAAGGGGAAAAGACATCAGAATCCAAAAAAAAAAAAAAAAAAAAGGCTGATGCTCTAACATACGACATTAATTATTATTTTAATAGAGTTTATTTGTGTCACTAGCAAAGCCGGGTTGGCTTTATAGCTTTGTTTCTAAAATTTCAAATGGTAGGGGGAAAAAGCACACTGGTTTGAGCTAACTTAAACATTATGTAATCTTTATTTCCTAATGCTAGTTTCAAAAGAAATAAAGCATCCTAGATTTCTTTTTTAAAGGCTGAGTTCAGAAGAGAGGAGGAAAGCATCTCATTTTACCTCTGTTCTGTACTTGCTTTTCATGAACTTGCTTTGAACTTTTAAATTTATCCTTCCAATTTTCATTAAAAAGCACAGTGAGTCACCATCTTCTGCACAGAATTAGAGCTATGGATAATGGAAAAATAATCTCCAGGTGAAATGAACACTAGGAGGAGATTAAAACTCCTATATCCTAAAAAACATTTGGGAGTTTTTCTCGAGTCAAAAGGAAACATAGCAGCCTAACAAATGTTTTACACGCAACATGGCCAAAGTCCATGGATGCTGGTTAGCATCATCTGAAAAGACGGGATGAGATGCATTCGTAATTCTCTTCTCCTTCGAAGGATTTTTCTTTTTAACCCGACAACCTGCTCATTCAATTATGTCTGTATCTTCCCAGAAAGCAAAAGCACAAAAAGGAACCATAATGGACCCTTGAGGCTTTTAAAGAACATCGAAACCAGTGGTTCTGTTAAGGTAACAAACTTTCCAGTGTTTGAGAATGGTCACTGGTGCCCAACATCATTCATCGACATCAACGAACCAAGCAGACACCCAAGAAGCCACTTTTCCTTCCCCACACTCTCATTAAGCCTGATTTAGTTCGGGGGTAGGCACCAGAAGAGGGGTGGGGCAGGCATCCAGTGGTACCCCAAGGGCCCACTTCTGTTTATTCCAAGCTTAAAGATTCCACGTGGTGATCAGGGTAGAACCCGGGCTTCTCCAGGAGAACTGCAGACCTGATGACTCTCACCATGTCTCCAAGACATCCTCCTGAGACGCAACGGGGGCCATCAGGAAGGCGGCCATCACGGGGTTATTCAGCCATTCACAAATACTCACTGACCACCCATTACCTGTCAAATGCTCTGCTCAGTGCTAGCGACTTAGAAATAAACAAGATCCAATTGCTACGTCGTATCTGCCCAGAATAAAACAAAACCTGACAATATGAAAGATACGGATATGGAAAGTCGCACTGAACTACTAACACAAGATGCCCCCCTTACCTCCAGACCTTCGCAACTTTTGTTCCCTCTGCTTAAAACACTCTCTTTCTCTCCTGTTAACTCTTACTGGTCCTACAGGACTCAGATTAAAGTTCACCTCCTGTCGTGACCCTTCCAGATTAGGCTGGATGCCCTGCTATATGCTTCTAACGCACCCTAGGCTTCCCTGACTATAAGCCATCTCCCTTTTTATTGCTTCTTTAATGGCTTGTTTTCTCCCTGTCATTCTGTACCAGCCATGTCATCAGGATGTGCATCTGTCCTAGCCCCTGCTGTCATGGTGCTTGACACACAGTTGGCAACCAAGAAATATTCCCATCTAAAATAATACGTGGTCATCATTGACAAAGAGAAATAAGCAATTTAAACTTATTTCTTAACTCTGGGTTATAGCTTTTTAACTCTCTGAAATTGCCACCACCTATAAATAGATTGGTTTCATTTAAAAAGGGTTCCTTATAAGTTCTATCCCTCTGAAAGCGACAGAAACCTCAAAGAGAAATGATTCAACACTGCTTCGAGACAGTCAACTGTTATTTCATTCTTTCTCATTTTAAACTAGGTGGTTTTATTAGATTGGCAAACCTCTTAAAATTAAATCTTCTCCTAAGCATTTCTTCCAATAGATAAATACTGGTATTGAAATTGTATTCACCTTGGATGGGTCATATCTTCTGAGTGTTTCTAAGAGTTCTGGAATTTGTATTCTTGTCTCTTCTTCACAGAAGAAAATCCATGATGAATTTCTGCTATACGTTACAGAAAAGCTGACAAAGAGAAATAGGTTATGGTAATCACTTCTATAAAATGAGTTTATAATAAAGTTTAAAACCGACAAGCAGGATGAAAGACATAAAATGGCAAGAAATCTAGATTTTTCCCCTGTATTTTCCTTCAATGTACAGTTTCAAAAGCCAGATACTAATAGTTTATCAAACAGCTAGAATTCTTTTTTTTTTTTTTTTTTTAATTTTTTTTTTTTCAACGTTTATTTATTTTTGGGACAGAGAGAGACAGAGCATGAACGGGGGAGGGGCAGAGAGAGAGGGAGACACAGAATCGGAAACAGGCTCCAGGCTCTGAGCCATCAGCCCAGAGCCCGACGCGGGGCTCGAACTCACGGACTGCGAGATCGTGACCTGGCTGAAGTCGGACGCTTAACCGACTGCGCCACCCAGGCGCCCCCAAACAGCTAGAATTCTTAAATTCTCTCTGTAACACCACCAGTCCAGAAGGGAGACAATTTTCAAATGTAACTATCAAATACATCAACATTTTATCTTTTAAGAAAGCAATATATTTAAAAATAGAAGCCATTCATGGTTAAAAGAATCAAGAAATCTGGGTAACGTAGTAGTCATAAAAAACAGAGTTCAAATTTTCTTGACTCTGAGGAAAAACACACTCAATAAGAGGAGTGAATGTTCAGGTGGAAACGTCAAACTTCACACATTTCAAATTAAACGTACTGTGGTAACAATGGAAGTATGGTCCATGCACCCTCCTGCTTAGACATCTGATGAAGAAGGAGGACTCTTGGGAGTTCCTGAAGAAACATTATCAAAGAGAAGAAATTAATAAAAGTACGATATGATCACTCTGATTAAAAAAAGAAAACACTCAATTTCTAAATGCAGGTATTTTTAGAGACCTGACATTTTACTCTCCTAACTACTTTCTTTTTTCTTCTCTTCAGGAGCTACTAGAAATTAAGGATGTTGGCTGGATCCACACAATCTTTTGGTCATCCAGGCATAAAACAGTGCAGAGGGCCTCGAAGAAGGGTCTCCACTGGTACCGGAGCTGACCTGAAATTTGCAGACTCGCAAAGGCGACTGGGAGGGAAGAGCCCAGAAGCAACCAGGCATAACTCAGAGGCACAGAAACAGATTTCACTGTGTAGACATCACAGGTAGCAGATGGAAAATAAAACCCTTCAGCTGAACAAAAGAGTATATATAATATCCCGTTTATCTCATGTAAAAAAAAAAAAAAATTTAAGTGCCCTAAAAAAAGCTAAAACACCATGGTAAGGAAGAGTATTTCTAAATACTAGAAATATAATCCTTAAGTACTCAGTCGATGATAGTCACAATAGAATTTTAAAACTTACAAACACAGGAGGAACTAAGATTCAGAAATAAGACACAACTATGGTTAAATAAATATGCATAAACACCAAGAGAATCAGATTAATATGATTCAGGCTATGAACGTCAGCTTTGAAGTAAAGCACTATTCAAGATATTTCACGTTATCACAAGCCCAAAGTCAGCTATACGATACGCTTGAACACCACCCTTCCAACAAACTTTAGTATATTCTGTGTTTTATTCTATTTCCTGGTAACTGTTGCAGACAAAAGACTTACGTAGAAAAGAATTATTAAGAATAAATGCCTAAATATTGGAACTGTTACAACACTAATGTAGATTCCACACCAGCCTTTAAGTTCATATAAAGAATGGTTTTCAATATAAATACTTGGAATTATCAAATAAAGCTTCACTTATTTTGTGTAGTATTTATTTTAACTTTCATGTACAAATATGAAATGCAAGAACAGTAATGAAAGGTTAAGTCAGACTAACAATATGGCGTGTCAGAGAGAAAAAAACACCCGAAAGGCTGAATTAGCAGTTAATTACTCAGTAAAATTCAGGGCTTTCCTGCTGTTGATTATGAATTATGCAGTAGTTTCCAGTGACTTTTAAGAAATGGCTATATATGTATTATATATATTTATACCACATGTATATTCATGAGGGATTATATAAGAACAGAAATCATGTGTGAAGAGAACTAATATTATTAATAGTTGCATAAAACTTTCAAATAACTATGGCAGCATGTTAATACGAACCAGCCAGAAAAGAAACATAGCAAATACTTTAAAAGGCTTTATAAGAAAATAAGTAGCGAATGAGCTATTGTGTAACAACTGAAAGTGTAATAATAAAGACTTCGAAACAATGGAAACGTCTTTATGTTAAATGGAAAAACAGACATGATTCTAAATACGTAAAATAAATTCACATATGAACAGAGACTAGGAAGGAACCAGAAAAATGAAAACATTTGTGTCAAGATGACCAAAGTATTACATCGATGCTTTTAAAATCCTTTAATGTAGTTAAAACACAGTTTAGTTTTAAAAATTTCTTGAGGAAAAATGAATACACCTCCAAATTCTTCCATACAAGTCCTATCCTTCCCGGTTATGGGAAATACGTAGGTGATGTCACTGGGTATCACAAAAAGGCTGTACAAGGGCACCTTCCCAGCAAGGATGCAAAGACAGACTTATGAATAACCTCTGTCACAACAATAAAAGTGAAAAGGCAAAGTCTTAGCACAAAGGAGCTAAATTCTACTCTAAAATTCTACTCTAAATTCTACTCTGTACCCATCCCACCTCCAAATAGAAACATTCCAAAACATTTTTAGAGTGGATGAGTAGTAATCCACTCTATGGACTACTAGTGGATTACACTAGCGAATTATAATCATCCCTGTCTCCATTCTTTTTTGTTTACTGAATCGTATGCCTGGGTTTCAGATCTGTTTCAGTCAGTGAACACAAAAATGGCAATCCAGCTTTCTGTACCCATCCCACCTCCAAATAGAAACATTCCAAAACCTAGTGGGCTATGTCGATACCTGTCTCCAAAGGTGTGTGAATGCCCTTGTCTCAAAAATATGTCTACCATGACATTCAGAAACCTGGTCTCAGCCACATGCAGAAGGATGAAACTAGACCACTTTCTCACACCACTCACAAAAATAAACTCAAAATGGATGAAGGACCTGAATGTGAGACAGGAAACCATCAAAACCCTAGAGGAGAAAGCCGGCAACAACTTCTTTGACCTCAGCCGCAGCAATTTCTTACTTGACACATCTCCAAAGGCAAGGGAATTAAAAGCAAAAATGAACTATTGGGACCTCATGAAGATAAAAAGCTTCTGCACTGCAAAGGAAACAATCAACAAAACTAAAAAACCACCAACAGAATGGGAAAAGATTTTTGCAAATGACATATCAGACAAAGGGCTAGTATCCAAAATCTATAAAGAACTCACCAAACTCCACACCCAAAAAAAACAAATAATCCAGTGAAGAAATGGGCAGAAGACGTGAACAGACACTTTTCCAAAAAAGACATCCAGATGGCCAACAGGCACATGAAAAGATGCTCAACGTCACTCCTCATCAGGGAAATACAAATCAAAACCACACAGATATCACCTCACGCCAGTCAGAGTGGCCAAAACGAACAAATCAGGAGACTACAGATGCTGCAGAGGATGTGGAGAAACGGGAACCCTCTTGCACTGTTGGTGGGAATGCAAACCGGTGCAGCTGCTCTGGAAAATAGTGTGGAGGCTTCTCAAAAAATTAAAAATAGACCTACCCTATGACCCAGCAATAGCACTGCTAGGAATTTACCCAAGGGATACAGGAGTGCTGATGCATAGGGG